AACAAAACATAATGGCACAAAGTAGGCCACAGTTGCAAAATTATTTAATTTGCCTGTGTCTCTAGGATTCAAACTGTGTATGGAGGGGACTTTCTCAGGCATCTAAGTCCTTCCAGAATCCCTGTAGACAGAGTGAGGAGAAACCAGAGTTAGCCAGTATTCCTCCAGAAGATTAAGGGAGCCTGCTGGGCTCTCACTGCTGTCCTGCTGCCTGACAGCATGGTGCCAGCCTCTCTCTACTGAGCCTGTGTTTGCTGTCCTGTTTAGTGGCAGGCAGATGCAATCACATGCTCTTCAATTGGTGTAAACTGACGTAGCTTCATGGAAGGAGCTGCATCGAGTCCCAGGGTGGGAGGCAGTGCTGCTCTGGGAGCAATGCTTTGCACTGGGCAACTGCTTTCTGCCTGTGCACTTCCATCACATCCAGTACCCACTGCCGACTCCTCATTGGGAAATCAGCCCTTGAGTTGTTTTTAAAACAGTCAGCAAAGTAGGCATGGTAAGTGGTGTGGCAATTCTTTCAGTAGTTTTTTGTATTACACTTTGCCTGTGTAAACCTTTACAAAGCCTTTTAAAAATTAGGTTTCTGCTCCTGGTGTGCCCACCTGAATACACAGGTACTGCACCAAAAAAAGGAAAGAACATAGGTAGGAGTCAGTTTTCCCATTTGAAGACATATTTCTATACACTTGGGTCACATAGAGGCAAATAATGCTAATATTCTTGGGAGTTTAATACTTTGCATTGTATAAGAAACACAGACATCTTAATGCCTGTTAAAGGCTAGAGAACTGTTTGAAAATAACCTACTTGAGTTTTTAAGCAGCAATGCACCATAAGCAAGGGAAGATGATAAAGTCCGGTCAGGTTGTACTCGAGGAATGACATACATAGTCTGTCAAATCTAAGTCTCTGTGTTTGCATATGAATGTGATAGGTCTACTTATTGTAGTGTTTGCTGATCCTTTGAATAGGCAGTGCAATGGCTGAGTTGTCTGTTTGATCAATATTTTTTTTGCTCTTCAGGGCAAAATCCAAGCTGAAATTTAAGTGAAATTGGAGAAGACCGAAGTTTGACTGCAACATCAGCGTCTTCTCAGGATGTGCTTTTGGGCGTAGCAAAAATTGACCGCAGATAAGTTAGGGCCTAAACTACTGAAAAATTGCAGCCTGTACATCCTTTGTAAGGAATAAAGAAAAATTTCTTTAAATTCCTCAGAATTTGTGTCAGTGTCAATCATGCTCATTTAGGGCAGGACTTACATTGCAATACATGGTCCTGATTGGGGCATGTGGCGTTCAGTACTAACAATTTGGTTATGACAAGATACCACCAAATAAAATTTCTATAGGCAGTTAAGGATGGTTTTTGCAATGAAAAATTATTAATATACTTCTGAAAATATTAACTGTGGTAATCATTTAGCTGTCACACAGAGTATTAAATTTTGCCATTTAATAGTAGCGAAGCAAGCAAGAATTGTAGCTTAAAAATAAAACCCTCAATCTAAATATATACCATTGTCTTGACAACTTCAAAACAGGAATTGAAAGGCTTTTGTAATAAAGTTTTTACTTAGAAACCAAAGCAAGAAGTGGCTTTTACTTAGGAGTAAAGCCACATCAGACCCCAGCTCTGGCACTGCCCCATGCATGAGCTTCAGCGCAGAAGGCACAGGTAATCCTGAGCTGTCGCTTCCAAGTGGTGGCATAACTAAAGTTTGTCTTGCCCAGTAGTGGTGGAAGTTGTCAAAGACAGGTGAGGGTAACTGCAGAGAGAAATAAAACTACTTTTTAAAATTTGCTGGTGGTTTATAACTCCTGTTTCTGTGACTGAACTTCCAAGTGATGTTGGTTGCCCCAGGCCAGGTTGCAAAGGACTCAGCTGAAAATAAACTGAAGGTTGCTGATGGCTTAAGGGTGGAAATACATAATGAATTGCATAGAAAAGCAGCCTATTATAAAGTGGCTTGTATGAGTGATAATTCATCAAGTGTGTGAAAAAGACCTAAGTTTTTATCAGCAGTTGATACTGGAGGCGATAAGGTGGCAATTCCAGAGGTATGACAAGAAAAGCCAAACCATTAGGGAACAACAGAGTCATAAAGTTCGAGAACAGCAAAGGAGAGAGAATGTGAAGTACTGGCAGTAAACTGAAATAAATTGGTGTTACATAACTAGTGTTACAGTGGTAATATCTGTCTGTCTGTAAGACAGGCTGTCAGGTTGGGCTAGACCTTCCACAAAATTCTTGCTGAAACACTGTGGACTTAAAGGGCCACCACAAGCCTCAAAGAGGTTAAAAGAATACAAAGGATCTGTGGAAAAAAAATTTACTGATAAGATATGACAGGACAGTCAGTTTATCTGAAAAAATATGTTGGAAATTTTCTGTGTTAATCTCGGAACTGTGAGAGCTTGAAATCAAAGGAGTCCTGGTTGTTAATCGGTGTGTTTGCCAGAAAGTGAGGAGCCTGATCATTCAAGTGATCAGGCCCTCAGCACTCCCCACATCAATGACTGCTTGTGTAGATGGTTGTATTTCTGGCAAAAGACTTCCCATACCCTTCCAGACAGGGCAGGTATCTCAAGTGGAAATGGCTTCCATAGACATAGATGAATTAAAATAGAAAAACTGCCTGTGGAGCAGGAGAAAGCTACTGGAGAGTGCCCACCAAGGGAAACTCTTGGCTTTCTCTCATGATCATCTGCTTCTGAAGCAGAAAAGATTCTTTATATGCAGTCGCTCTCAAGGGAAAGTTCAGAAAGAGGCTGATCTTTCCAAACATCTGTTGAGAACTGAAGGAAAGGAAGAGAGTTAGTCTAAGCAATGGATTTGGTCTTCTGCTGTTTCTGGCCATTTAGCCCAAGAATCCAAACTTCTTGGCAGCAGCTCTGCAACTTCAGCATTTGCTTCTTTGTTTTTTGTCTTTTTTGACTTCCATATGCCTGCATGGGGCCAGCTATTAATTAGGGCACATTGACATACGAAAACTAAGGTGTTGTTTGAATGCATTTTGAACTGGATGTGGATACATTTGATATATAAGAACAAATTATCTGGTATCACAGTACAAACATTCTACTATTTATGTTTTAGGCTTAGCTGTAGTCTAAGCCTGCAACCTTCTGTCCTCACTATTAGGTCTGTAAAGAAAACTCAATAATGTATGACACAGTATTTTTGCTGAAACTGAGTAAAACACTACAGTTTTATAAATTGAAGACACTTATAGGGTTGGATATTGGAACTTGGATATTTTCAGATTTTTTTTTTGCTTTAGGACATCACTTCTAAGTCAGTTTTCAGGAAAGTTGAAGGCATCTCCATATGTGTTAGGATTCTCAGACTTTGAGAAAAGGGCTTATTGTGAATCTAAGAAGTTTTCAAAAAATAAATGAAATCAGAATTAAATTTATCTTATTTATATGTCTTGTCCTAATTCTGTATGATCACATGCTGACTGTTTTGTCTTCCCAACAGATTTTCCCCATAATGTGTCATCTGTTTGTGTGTGAAGAAGTGTAAAGTGACTAATTCTTTCTACTATTTACATTCATAAAGTAACAATTCTTGTTTTGTTCTTGAAGAAACTGCTAAAAGCCCTTCAGTGGAAGCACTAGAAGCAATTAAATCATCACCCCTAAGTATTTATGCGTTAGTGATTCAATATACTTCACCGAACAAAACAAAATTACCTTGGCAAGAATGTCTTTCCTGTGAACTTAAAATTGTTTGCACCATTTTTATACCTGCTAGATATAAAAGATTTATGGAGAGAGATTTATGGAGGGAGGAATATATCTTTATGCATAAATATATACATAGGGACATTGAATAATTTTTTTGGATGATGAAAAGGAGGAATAAGGGGGAAGAGTTGACATAGGAATTTCAGTTTATTGATGCTCTTACTATCTGAGGGCAACACAGCATGGATATCTCCACCGTAAAGATCAGCAATAATTTACAAGTATTTGAAAATCCAGTTTGCCAGTCCTAGAAGGTGCCTGGATTTGTCTGAGATAGCGTATGTGGCACTACCTGCGTGGAAGTGCCTCTGTTCAAGGTGGGCCATTATGCCAGGCCATATTTTGCTTGGCTGTTTGAGTTGGGTAGAGACATTGTCTGCCAGATGGGCCTGCCTTCACGAAGCTGGGGAGTGTAGCTGGCCAGGAAACGGCATTTCAGAGGAAAATCTAGATCCTGGGCTTTGTTTTGGTTGCTGGGAAGATGGAGTGGCTTGGTTCTGATGGCTTTCCAGGCTCTTCAATGCAACCCCGCAATAGTTTGCTTTATAAACACCAACACATTGTAGTCCAGAGAGGTAGTGTATTTGTTAAGATACCTATTTGCTTAGGTAGTTTTTGCTTATGGGAAGCAGCAGACCTGAAGATCTGGGAAGTGCTGGTAAGCAGAGAGTGCTCCTCATTGCTGGACAGGCTCCTTATGGAGATCTGCTGATATCACTCGCTCCCCTTTGCCTTCTGACAGCTGAGTTGGATCATAGCAAATTATTTTTCTGCTCCTGAGAAATGCTCATTTCCAAAGGAATCCAGTAAGTGGCTCTGAGAAGCACTTTAGTTTCTTGGTTGCCTTTTATGTGGATAAAGTCTGACTTTTTTCTGGAATTTTAGGAGGGCAGCTACGATTTCTTTTCCATAGTTATGCAGCATGGATGTGTGTACATTAAAGATATGTTGTATATAATGTGGTTTCCAACATTCTAATTCAAATACTGATTCAAATACCTTTTTCATTTAACATTGAGAGGTAAATGATTGCTTTACCAAATGGACTAGAATTGCTTGTTTTCCTGGGTAGTCTTCAGCACTGTTGAGAACTTAATGGCAGTGTCTGAATTTATGAAGGGCAAACAAATGGTATTCACTAATTCAGAGAACTAATTAGAAATAAATGCCTGTGGGTATTGGATCCCCCCCCCCTTACATTTTAGGAGAATTAGAGGAAAATTTAATAATTGCTTTCAATTTTTCAGGCAGCCAACATCAAGCGTGAAATGACCTTCCCTGCATTTCAACAGGAGGATGTAAAAAGTGACATCAGTCAAAAACTGCCAGACCAACAGTTTCTCCTGTTTACCACAAAGGAGGAAGATTTAAAAACAGCAGAGACCAAAAAACTAAATAGAGCTCATGAGTATGAAAAGGAAAACACTCGTTCTGTTTGTCTTCTGGAACAGAAGCGCAAGGTTGTTTCTTCAAATATTGATGTGCCTCCAGCAAGGTAAGAAGAGTTGGAGTTTTTTTTGCTATGTTTTCTTTTAAGCTTTTTTCCCTTTTTTCCATGTCTTTTTTTTTTAATGGGATATTAGATGCAAGTTTTGTAAATAGCACTACGAACTGCTAAGACTAGTATTCGTGCCCAGGCAGTCCTAAGTCACTCACAACTCCCCTATTTGAGAGATCTGCTAGAAAATTAAAGACATTAGTAGCAGAAACTGAGACCATGTGCAGAGTAGGACTTTGTATTTCTTTTTTAATGTTTTTACTTTTAGAACCTGCTGTAGCTGAGGTAATTGCAGAAGAGGATGTATCTTAAGAGGAAGAGGTTGTTGACCCAGCATCACCCTGAGAAGTAATCTTCTACATTAGACACAGAAACATCTTACCTGCTAGCAATTTATTTTTTAAAATATTTTTACTGTCATACTTGCAAGCGCTTTATACTCATGGGAGTGTGCAGTGCATAGTGAGGATGTGGTATCTTATGTTCTGTTATGTCCCTGTATGGGTATACATCTGGGTCATAATGTGGTCTAGGAAAAGGGTTCATAGAAAACTGTGGTGAGGAAAGACAAGTGCAGGGAAATCAAATTTATGCAAAAGGGGGATTTGGGGATTTTGGTATTGCTATTTAATTCCTTTAATTTCTTAATTAATTCCTTGAGGATCTGTTGTAAATGCACATACATGTTTGTGTCTTCAGCATTTGCATTTGTGCATTACACTCAATTTATAGTGAATTATTTTGAAAAAAATAGTTGTTCTTTAATCTGAGCCTGACGTATATCACAGCAAGAAATTCAAGGTATATTTATCTGGGTTTTTTTCTTCCTCATATTTAAGTGGAATAGTAGTAAGAGAGAAGGATAATCTGGAGAAACTGAGAATTTAATACTGGCTAGTGATTTAAAGTGAAGGCCCTTCAGAAATACAGAGTCTAGAACCTTGAACTTCTCAGAAAGACGTTACTGCTTTGAAAGAGAAAGGGAATGACTCCTCTAGGAAATGCTGAACATTAATATAAAAGAAGCATATGCAGTAATGCTGAACACAGTCTTTTCTATCATTGGTGAAAAACTGACAATAAATTGGATAATCTGCATTGCAAGATGACAAGTGCTGCTTCTTTTTTTTGTTAATGATTTCATGTTGGCATCAGTCTGTCTGCAAAGATTTTTTTTCTTAACCTGCCTGGGAGTTTAACTTGCACATAATATTCAGTGAAAGGCTTTTTGATTTTATAGTGCCACTAAAAAAATTTGTAGTCAAAATGAATGCTTAGTTGTTTTTCGGTTTGTTGGCTTTCTAAAAAACAACATAAACCAGCAGGTTCTGCCATATCATCCAGAACAGGATGACTGTTGTTTTCCTCTGGATCTCATAGATGACACTTCTGAAAAACACAGAGTTCATGTGCATTTTGACAAGATTTTTCCCCCATAAAAATCTAGTAAAAAGCTATGTGCTAAAAACATGAAAATATTAAGATACTTATCTGAGATTTTCCCCATTAATCAGCCCCATAATGTCTGAGTGCCCTTCTCATTCATCCTGTGTGTCTCAAAGCAAATAGGATCACCAGAAAATTTAGGTCAGGAGGGACCTCAGGAAGTCACCCAGGCCAACTCAAACCATATGTTAGCATTTCCATTTAACAATTCAGACAGATAAAGTACAAGATTTAAGTATATTTTTGTGTGACTTCATGCAGATAATCCACTTGAAGTACTAGTCGAGCTCCCATTTCCCATAGCTGCAAGATCATCCTTCCTTGGAGGGATGGATATTTTTTCCCGAATGAGCTGGAAAAGAGGATGAATAAATATCTTTAATGCCTTCTTAAGGTTAATTGTGACACCAGTTGTGAGCACAGGCTACTTCTGATGATAGGATGTAAGTTCATTTGCAAAGGTGTCTTCTAAAGTTGTTCTTTGTTTCTGTATTTTGTTGGGAACAGAAAAATTACCATATTATGTTGTTGCATGTTTTCAGACATCCAGGTTGAGCTCCAGAATTAGAAGAATTAGAGAATGAAATAGAAAACAAACTTAGAGTCTAAATTCAATAGCATAATAAACATTTTGGTCATTCTTGCTACATTTCTGCAGTCAGGGTCAAGTTTTACTTTTAATCTGAGGTGAGTTATTGAACCATTTGTCCATAACAGACAGGAAGAACACTTAAACCTTTGCTTGGAGATCTTCCTAAATATTTGTTGTTGTAATGAAGGAAGTGCTCGGTTTCTCTTCCTGTGCAGCACAGTTTGATCTCTAAATCATATTCTCCAAGAAGTGTCCATGCATTTGAAATTCTCTTGCGTCCTTCCTTCCACTCTTCTGTGTAGAACTGTGCTGATAGAGTTGCATGTTCCTCAGAGGTGAATTCCTCCTCCCTTTGCTGCCTAGCAGGAGTTGTTGGATTGACTGTCCTCTCCTCTGATGGGAACATCCATCTACCATTGCAGATTGGTCACAACCAATTGTGGAAGATCATCTTGAATTAATCAGATGATGTTTAAAAAGGCATGGGAGAAATAAGGGCTTTAATATGGTCTTCAGTTTCTTACTGCTACATACACCCTCTTTACAAAAAAAAATCATCTATTATTTTGAAATAGGAAAATGCTATAGAAATGAAGCTTACTATTTATTTTGTTTTAAAACCCTAGTGGAGCTGAGGGGGTTACTCTTTCACTTCTTATGCTGAAGTAAAGGGTAACATTAAATTTTACAGTATCCCACTAAACCCAAGACAATATTTAAGTGATTTTGAGACAGAAGTTTACCAAACTGCAGATTTCTTATTAACATGGGCATATGAGTATCTCCAAGAGAGCTCTGAAAAAGTATTTGCAAAAATAGCTGGTAAGAGCATGGATAAACATGCTTCATTTTGACCACAAAATGAAACAAAGTCTATCCCTTCTTATCTGTTTTTAAGGGTCTCAGTGAATAAGAATGGAAATCTTTGTGAGGCACTGTATCTAAAATAACAGTTCAGAAAACACCAGCATAGTAAGTGTTTGTTTGAGACATTCAGTTGCCAGGCCTTCATTATTGCTTATAGACTCTGAAATTTTAGAAATGTGAAAATATCTTAGCTCAGTCCTAGTGTTTTAGGTGAATGGTAGTCAGGTGTTCTGAAAATACAGGAGATGAAACTGTAGAGCAAGTGGCACATGTTCTTCTACATGTGCTACATCAGTCTGATGTGCGCATGCAGGAGAAGAGGAAACCAATGGAAACAAAGGACACTTCAGGGTTTTGGCTTTTAATGATATCTGGAGAGAAGGGGTAGATCCATACTGTTTAATAGCTCAATAGTTATGCACTTACCTGGAACCTGGCAGGTGTGGGTTCAGGTTCTTCTGTTGTTATATTTGGAAGAAGTACCTGAACTGGAGTCCCTGCTGCACAAAGGAGATGTTTTACCATTGAAATTGTGACGTATTCAGGGTGCTTCATAGGACAGCTCTTTAATGTAATAGTGTCAGGCTAAGTGCAGCAGACCTGAAATAAATATATTATTGCATGCAGGAGAATTTTAAGATTGAAATTAAATTACATTTTTAAGTTCATTATTTATATTTTCTGTTTCATCTTGCAAAAATACTGTGGACCTTTCTCTCTATGTTAGGTGGTCTACTGGAAGTATCTTTTAGATTAAAACAGGAGGAGACTATGACTTTTTCTTAATGATTTTTTTCTTAATGATTTTTATGTTTGGAATGCAAAAATGAAATGACAGGTTAACAACATTAAGTCTTTCCCTTTTCATATGTCTTCATTTGATCGTTTTGAACAAAATTTATATGAGTTAAATAGCTTTCCTATTTCTGAAACTCTTGAGTAAATGAATTGATATAATAAGGAAATTTGAATTCCTTACTTTCCCTTTAAAGTGTAAATTTATTGGTAGTTTTGATGCATAAAGGACTGCAGTCTTGGAGAAAGCAATCTGACCACTCAACTGTGAACTGCAATTATCTCTGAGAATTGAGATGTTATCTGTAGAACAGAGGAAAATATGCTTTAGGTTGACCTCCAGTTCAAACAGCAATCAAACACAGCCAGATGCACGAATCTGAGTAGTGAAAGGTCATTTCGTAAAGAGACGGTGTCACTGAGGGACTGATCACCTTGTCTGGTGGGCAGAAACAAGCCCAGGTCCACCAGTGTTTCAGGCAGCTACATTTGTAGAGGTCAGATATAATCAGAGATGATGTCCCCAGTAGGCAACGGTGTGGAAGTTAACAGAGGCTTCTTGCTTATTTGTATTTTCACCGGTTACTTACCATCATGCAGACTTAGTTCCAAAGAAAGTTAAAAAGAAAGATGTGAAAAAGCCTGGACTGCTGGTACAGGGGATGTGAGCGTGTGAGTAGGGACCCAGTGCAGGCCACATACACGGGGAACGACTTCTGCATCTTGGAGGAATAAGGATGGAAGAGTGAGCAATGGAGAACAAGGGATGAAGTTCCCTTTTTTAAAGTAAAATGTGGGAATAAATGTCTGGAAATGGTGATGGGGTTAAAGGACCCTTAAGACAGAAGTGTTTTGATGAGTGGTACTTGGAAACCCTTCAAAACTTAAATGCGTTAGTGTCATAAGTGGTGTCCTTTGGGTGTCCCAGAAGGAACTGGGAAGGCATCACTTCTATCCTTCTGATGGGTGGGAATGTTTGAATAGTTTTGCTTTTGTTAACCTTTTGCTAGATGACCTCAAAATATTGTGAAATTTGTATTACTATATCACATCATTCTTCTTTTCCCCAGTCCTACTGTACTCTGTTGTCCCTGAAAAGAAGAATAAAAGATAAGCTTTCTAACTACCTTTTTCTACATTTTTTGTGCTCTTAAAGGACAAACCAATGCTAAACCTCAGCTGCTTAAGCACTTCCTTATATAGTGTTAAAATAATTATTGTGCTTAAAACCTAGTTTTTGTGCTCTTCTGGTTCACTGTTACTAAGAAGTGACATATGCCATGACAATATATTGGAT